TCCTGATGTCCGCAAGCGCGCCGCGCGGCATATCCTTCAGACCCTCGTCCAAGAACGTGGAATTATCTTCGACCTCCCAGCTCACAAGCACAATGTTGCCTCCCAGCTCTCCTGGAGGGTTGCCCCCCTGCCCCTCAAACTGGCCATCGGGGAACTTCCGCCACCTCATCGGCTCGCTCACCAGGCTCGCTCTTCCCTGGCTCGACCTCGCTGCTGTAGGACCTGTCGAACCCTTCGGTGCCCTTGATGCTCCCCTCGCAGGCCGCGGATTCAGCGGCCCGCGCGCGTCCTCGATGGGCTCGCCCTTCAGTCGAAGAACCGCCCGGTACTTCTCCCGGGCCAGCAGCGCGTTCGCCTTGGGCCCTGTGCCCCAACGACCCCCGCACAGGATGCACTGCATCGCCGAAAGCACCCCCCACGCGCCCTCCAGCTTCTCGACGGGGCGATGGCACTCGCTGACCCTCTTCTCGAACTCCCCTCGCGCGCCCGGCAGCGGGTAGCCCAGAGGCCATTTCCAGCGTTGACGGTTTAGGGGCAGGCTCTCCCACTCGTGGAACTTGCACGTGGCGCCCCGACATTGATGGTAGTAGGCCCCGTAGGTTTCCTTCTCCGGGTTGGCCGCTCAGAATCACCCTGCCCTCCTGCATTTGTCGCCGGCCCTCCCACCGCCCACCTCCGTCTCCAGGCGCATGCAACGCGCTACCTTCCACGGCGGGTAATTCACTGGCGCCCAGGGACCGGGCTGCGCTGCAGGCACTGCACCCATAGGTTGCACTCGCGCTGGAGCTCGGACTCGTCTCGAGGATACCCAGACCACCAAGCAATCCTCCTCCCCCTCGCTGCTCTCCCAGCCACAGCGCCCCCTGGGCGCAGCGGCGAGAATAGCCCCACAAGCGCCCGCACACATGCCAGGAGAACTACGCTGGCGGCCAAATGGACACATGACTGTCGGGCTGGACTCCGCGCCACGTGCAGGCCCGACTGCACTTCGTGAAGATGTGATATGAAAATACGGATTGCATCATCGACTGGCCTAGCGTCGATGGAATCGCTGCCTCCACTCCTGCGGATGCGGAAATCTTCATCCTTATGAGAGTGCGCGCCGACAGAAACTGCCCATCCCTCAGGCCTGAACTCCACCACTGATACCGCGACGTGGCCTGTCTAGATTTCACGCATCTGAACTTCCGTGCCTGCCTTACGAAGAATGAGTTTCATGCTATCGAGGTCTACAAGAGCCATGGATTGCTTGAGGGTCTTCAAAAGCAGCAATAAAGAGACGTTGCCTTCCAACCGTAAGCTCTAAAGGACAACGAGAACCTCCGATGCCAAAAGGCGTGACCACTACTCCGACCGTTTTAGCTTGACCCCCAACACCCTGTGCCTGGGCTGGCTCATTGATCCACTTGACCCGGAGTCCCCGAACTCTGAGAACCTCCTCGAGCTGTTGACGAGCTCGAACCCCAATCAGATCAGAGAAGGCCGCGGCGTCCACCAAGGACTCTCCATTCCCAAGAGACAGCCCACACCAATCCCCAGATTGTTCAGTTTGCCCAAGAACTCCCACTCGTCCTGGCCCGCCATCTCGACCACGTCCAAAAAGGTCCCGCACCCGGCCGAGGCTGTTCAGATCCACCGAGGCCTGGTTCCCAAACACCCCGAACACAAGACTGGATGCTCTTGGGGTCCCGCTTGAGCCCGCGGGGGCTTATGGTGATCCCGATGACGCTTGCACCTGGACTCGAACTCCAGAAACTCCCCCTCTGCGTCCGGGCTGACTGCCGCGCTGGCCGCCGCGGCGCCCACGCAGAAGCCGGCTTTCGTCTTGGCCGCAGCAGCAGCCCCACGTGCACCGGGCGGATTGACGCACTCCTTGGCCCAGTGGCCGACCTGACCGCATCGGGCGCACTTCGTCCTCAGCTTGATCGCGTCAATGTGAACTCGCACCTTCCTGCCCGGGCCGTCCTGGCACTTGCTGTCATTGCCGAACTTGGCGACAGGCGGAGGCTGCACCACGTCCTTGCCCTTGCCTTTGGGCTTCCCCTTGCCGAAGCCCCCCTTGTTATTTTCGATGCGCAGCGACTCTCTCGCCGCCTGATAGGACGCCAGGGCCGCAGTCACATCTGCCTCCTCGTGAACCTCCCACAGGTCGTCTTCAAAGACGTAGACATACTCTGGGCCGTCGTCGAGTTCACTCGCAACCTCCATCGTCGGGTAATATTCCTTCACCTGGCCGGCCTCCTCGACGTCCTTTCCAAATAACTGCCTGTCCCCTTTGTCGCTCGAGATCTTGTCGGGCCTCCGCAGCGCTTTGATCACCTCTGCCTCTCGGAAGCTTCCCGCGGTCCACGTCTTGATCATATCCTCACCTTCTTCCGCCAAGCTTCGCGTGGCGCATCATGACGCAGCCGCGGGCCTCGGACGGCAGCTCCACACCCTTTCGTCTGAGCTCGCTGAAGCGACCCACCGCCGCAAGCGTATACTCCAGCATGCTCTGCCCCTTCTCACGCATCGACGTGTACACCGCCCGTTCGAGTGCCCGCGGCATCGCCTGCTCGAGGGGCGGTGCGAAGGCCTCGTCCAACAACACCAGCATCTGCTCCAGGCCGTCATCCGCCACGATCGCCTCTACCTCCATGTCAGGCACAACCGCCTTCGCCTTGCCCTCGAGCCTGCGCGATAACTTCGCGCCCCCACTTGGCCTGCGGGATGTCGGTGGTCGAACACAACAGGCTCAGCTCCTTTCTCCGCCACTTGTAAGTCACCTCTGGCTTCTCTCCGTCATAGCCCGGTGGAGGCTCTCGATCACGTCCACCCCCACGAGATTCTTCATCTTGGGGTTCCTCGTCACCGTCCCGACGCGTACGGCTCATGGACCTTCTGGAGCCGGTGGACCGTGACCGGCTCCGCTACCACTGAAAGCCTCCCGATGTCGATCGATGTTTCTCTGATTGGCGAGCACGCCCCATCCGAGCTCGCCCTTGCTCTTGCCGCGCCAGACTGCACCAGCACTGCACAGGCACACGGGAATGGGTAGGGAATCGGGAGGTCTGGGAGTCTTTTCATGAGAGTGAGCGGGGGAAACAAGGATGAACCAGCCCGAGCACGAGATGGCTTTGGATGGGACAGTAGAGCGGGGAACAGGGCAGAGGTAGGCTGAAGAGAAAAGCTGTGGGCACACGTATCGCTATACATTCACAGCGTAGATGCGGCGGCGATGCCGGCGTAGCCGTCGGCGTTGGTGTCGGCGGAGTCCTGCTGCCTGTTAAGCAGTTTGTTGCTTGGGCAGCGGTCGAGGTGGTAGTACTGCTGGTCGCTGGTTTGATGGTGGCGCTGCTGGTCGCAGTCGTCCTCGCTGTCGTCGTGCTCCTTCTGATCGTCGAGCTCTTGGTCACTGTGGACCTCGATGGTGCCAGTGGGCTGCATGGTGTCGGCGCTGGCGTCGACCCTGGACGGCCTTAGATGGCGCGCGAGCTGCATCACGTCGAAGCCGACGATGGGCTCGCCGCGCCACGAGGCGTAGGCCAGCCTGCGGTAGGCCTTCAGGGAAGCCTCGCTTTCATGAGGCCCAGGCCCCGAAAAGCCCGATCTGTCTCCGTAGGCAATCTTGGTACGCACCGGGCCCGCTGCAGGGGACTGGGGGCCGCAGAAGGCCCCCTGCCCTCCTCCTCCTTCTTCTCCGCCCCCTGCTCCTGCTCCTGCTCCTGCTCCTGCTCCTGCTCCTGCTCCTGCTCCTGCTCCTGCTCCTGCTCCTGCTCCTGCTCCTGCTGCTCCTCCTCCTCCTCCTCCTCCTCCTCCTCCTCCTCCTCCCTCCCCTCCTCCCTCCTACCTCCTCCTCCTCCTCCTCCTCCTCCTCCTCCTCCTCCTCCCCTCCTCCTCCTCCTCCTCCTCCTCCTCCTCCTCCTCCTCCTCCTCCTCCCTCCTCCTCCTCCTCCTCCTCCTACCTCCTCCTCCTCCCCTCCTCCTCCTCCTCCTTCCTCCTCCTCCTCCTCCTCCTCCTCCTCCTCCTCCGCCTCCTCCTCCTCCTTCCTCCTCCTCCTCCTCCTTCCTCCCTCCTCCTCCTCCTCCTCCTCCTCCTCCTCCTCCTCCTCCTCCTCCTCCTCCTCCTCCTCCTCCTCCTCCTCCTTGTTCTCCGCCCCGCCTCCTCCTCTGCCTCTCCCCCACTCGGAAAGGAGTCGAGATCCTTAAAGCGGTTCGCAGAGGTCTTGGCCCCGACCCGAGGCTTAGCTCCACCCCGGATCGGGCCATCCCCCTTTTTCGAGGGTCGCGGCTCGACCAGCCACCAGGCAGCAGGCCAGGGAAGTCCTCTAAGGGTCAGGCAGCGTCGTGCCCGCCCCCCCCCCCCCCCTGCGGCGCGGGTGGGACCCGCGCCGCCGCGGGGGCCTCCAGCCGCTCCCCCGCCCCCAGGCCGTGCTGCGAGTCCTGCGAGGGCCGCACGTCGGCAGTGATGGCTCGCGTCAAGGCCAAGGAGGAGAGGAGAGGCCAGGCGCCACCCGCCCCTCCTCCTCCTCCTCCTCTCCTCCTCCTCCTCCTCCCTCCTCCCTCCTCATCCTCCTCCTCCTCCCCCTCCTCCTCCTCCTGCTCCTCCTCCTCCTCCTCCTCCTCCTCCTCCTCCTCCTCCTCCTCCTTTGTCGTTCGGTGTCGGTGGTGCGATGCCGGGGTTGCCCCGGACCGCCTGCCTCTCTGTCTTGCGCTCTGTTCCGGCTGAACAGGCAAACCCGGGGGCTATCTGCATTCCTTTGCGAGGCACTTCTTCGCATTCAGCTGCGCGCGCCGCGCGCCGACGCAGCAGCGCGGCGGAGCTGGGCCTTTGGGTCCATCTTTCGTTTTGTTGTGGTGAAGTCACCCGTCTTCCTTCGGAGTCGTTATTAATTCTATTGCATTATGATTACTACGGGTATTATTGTTATTAATGTCATTATGCTTATGAATATTATTAGCATCATGACTCCTACTAGTATTACTACTACTGTTATTATTCCTCCTGCCCCCATTCCGTCCTTCTCGCCGAGCTTGCTCTTCCCCTCGTCGAAGGTGTTGGCCGCGTAGAAGACGTCGCGGCAAAACTCCTGGGGGGCGGGGGAAAGGCGGCGTTTCGCGGCCCGCGGCCCGGCCCGACCGACCGCGGGGGCGCATCGGCGGCGCGCCCAGGGAGGAAGGCATCGAGGCGAGGGAGGAGGAGGCGAGGGAAGAGGAGGAGGAGGAGGAGGAGGAGGAGGAGGAGGAGGAGGAGGAGGAGGAGGAGGAGGAGGAGGGAGGAGGAACACGAAAATGATCACATACAAGTGAGAACATGGGCTCGAAAAGGTGGGCGTGTATGATATGTGATGCTTGAAGCCATGGTACTGCCACGTGGGGGGTGCCGAACAAGGAGCGAAAGGGCTTCTCGGGTCGCGGCGAGCCTCGGCCACGGCTGGATTCCGCGCCCGGCCCGAGAACCAGAGCCCGTCCCGAGCCCAGCTGTCCTCATCTCAGCGCCATGGGGATATGCCGTACCTATCAGTAGTCGTCTTCCTCTCGTGAGTCGTCTTAGTATGGATAGCAGTTTTTACTGTTAGACCATGTTTCGAATTCGCATCATTAGCAGTATCATTATTAGTAGTAGTACTCAGATGTATTCGTATGAGCATTACGATTCATACTACGATGATGTATACCAGTCATGTCAGAAGTGCTATTATTCTCTTCTTCGAAAGGAGGGGGGCCCTCCTCCTGGTAGTCCCGAGGGTAGTAAGACCAGGTGCCGCCCAGCACGATGATCTCCACCTTGTCCACCGTGTGCCCCTGCTTGGCCAGAGTGCCTCGCACCAGTGAGAGCGGGGAGACAGCAGGCCCGCCCGCCCACGGCACGCTCGGCCGAGCCATCTGGCGGTGAAGATCCCATAGTTTTAGGTCGGAACATCATCAACAAATAATCAAACAATATTCAAAACATAGTTTACAGGAGGGATTCTAAAAGATAGTCAAAAAGCAAATCTAGGGAGGATGTTCTTCTCCTTGGGACCATTCTGGACTTTTTCACTGCTTTAACTTTTTCGTCTAGCATCTCCCTGTAGGAGGACACGCCCGACCTAACACTAGTTTCGGGTATGGACAGAACCCCCTTTAGTAAAACGTGGTTTAGTGAAAACGACCTCGGGCCCAAACCTGGCGGGCGCAGGCCTGGAAAGTGACGGCCGCGGCGCCCTCTCGAGAACCGAAAACGGATAATTCACTCATCGACGTGTCAGGGGGGGGCCTCCTCGCCCCATTGGGGCTCTTTTCTCCCCAATCATAAGGAACCGAACTTTATACACCGATGTTTCTTCCGGTCCCGCACTGAGATTCGCACAAGAAAACGGATTACGGTGTATACGGCATCCTGGTGCATACATTTTATGTTGCTTCTACGGGAAAACGGGGAAACAAGTATACACCACACCACCCCGACGTCGTCCCCGACCCTCAAAACTTCCTGGGATTGAACAGCAGCCCGCCACTGGGAATCTGTATGTTCCAGCTTTCGAAATAAGTGCTTGCACTGAAGGGGTCCTATAGCGGATGTTGCAGAATTCGGCGAACGTTCCCCGCCGATCTTGGTGGCAGGCTGGGTTCCCGGGTTCCCGGATTCCCGGTTCCGGGTTCCCGGGTTCCCGGTTCCGGGTTCGGGGCCGATTTCGGAAGGCGGCGAGGTACCCAGGTTACCGGGTTCCTGGTCGATCTTCTTATCGATCGGTCTCACCATCGATCTCATTACCGACTTCTCGATCGATCTCACCATCGATCTCACAATCGATCTCACTATCAATCTCACAAGCAATCTCACTAGAGATCGCATGAGCGATCTCGCGATCGATCTCACTAGCGATCTCATTGAATCGATTTCACTCTCGGTCTCACGATCGACCTTACAATCGTCCTCACTATCAATTCCACTCTCGATCTCATTATCGATCTCACAATCGATCTCAAGATCCATAGTATCAATTGTCAGATCATCCATTGATTCGGTTTTCTCAGGTGTAATAATGGTTTGTGGCTTTTCCAAGGCCCTGCGGCAGCCATGATGAATTGAGAAGTGTGCACCCCAAACATTGTCCGAAACCCTCAGGACTTCTGCCAATGTCTGACTGCTTGGGAGGGTCTCGTACGGCCTCCTGGAGACTTTGGGCGCGCTTGACCGCTTTGGACGGCTCGTGTGGCGTCCTCGGGCCCGCTGTGGGCGATCTTGGAGCCTCTGGGCCCAATGGCATATCGTGAGGAGCGCAAACGCGGCCCGAGGGCCGAGATTGCCCAAGGACGGCCCCAGCGGGGCTCCCGGAGGGGCCCAAAGGGGGGGGAGCCCGAGCCGACACGTCGAGGGAGACCCCCTCTCGGCGGCAAGCGAGGGGGGGAAAGCGACATGCCAGGTGCAGTCGCGTCATGTCTGACGTCCTGGCCCCTCCCTCCCATCCCTTCCCATGGCGTAGACATCCTCTCGATTCGAACAGTCGGATGTCGAGCAGAGCAATGATCGCGAGAGGGTACGCGGTGCATGGTAGAGCACCGCATGGCATGGCGTAGAAGAGCACGGCAGAGCGTAGCATGCAACAGCAGGGCGTGGCATTGCGCAGTGAAGCATTGCATCACAAAGCATTGCCACGCAAAGCATGGCATCGCACAAAAACATGTCCCGGGAATCCTGTGTAAAAAAACAGTGCGCGGAGGGGGGCCGGACATTTTCCGGACGTCATGAGGGGAGAGAGGAGAGTAGCATTTGTAGAATTGTGAAGGAGAAGGCCTTCTCATAAGGCGGCGAGACTTCCCAGAAGCCCGCGCATCGCCTTCGTAGAAGTGTTCTGGCGTCTCGGGGGGAGGCTTACGAAGCCTCTCAGGAGGCCGGGGGACCTTCGAGCCTTGTGAGAAGGCCCGCCCCCTCTCACTTCCCCCCATGGGCTCGCCGCCGAAGAATGTCTCAAAGGCACGAAGTCAGTCGGACCCCCGCAGTGTCTGCCTCCTGGGGCCACCTCTGGGACTCTCCTAAGGCCCTCTGTGAGCGCCGTAGGGGGCCCGTCGGGCCGTGTTGGAGCCTTCTTCGGGGCGTCTTGGGCCGTCTTGGGCCGTCTTGAAGCTAACCCTGGGTCGCCCTGGGACCTTCCTGGACAGCTCGGGAGCTTCCCTGGGACCTTCTCGGGCAATTCTGAGGGATCTAGGCGCGCTTGCCTGCTCTGGACGGCTCGTGCGGCGTCTTCGGGCCCGCTGTGGGCGGTCTTGGAGTCTCGGGGCTCAATGGCACATCGTGAGGAGCGCCGGCGGTGGGGGGGGTCGCTCGGAGCCTTCTGGAGGAGCCTCGAGGGGACCTCCTCGGGCGAGTCTGAGGGATCTGGGCGTGTGGTGGTGGGCGGCAGTTACCAGCCTCGAACGTAACCCTATCCCTAAGATTGACACGCCACAAGGCGATGTCAATCTTGGGGATTCGCCCTCAAAAGATAAGGAAATCCCTAAGATTGGCATCGTGATGAGGAGATGCCGAGCATAGGGATAGGGAGATGTTCCGGGCTGGTAAGGCAGGGGCGTCCAGGACTCCGAAGTCGCCTATGGGGACGCCGGCGGATTTTGGCGCGCCGGGCCCTCGAGAGGACGGCCTGCGGCACTCCGAGCACCAGAAGACACCTCGGCCTGGGGCACCTCCGGCCTCGAGGCACCTCCGGCCTCGGGGCACTCCACCTCGTGCGGAAGGCATTAGAAGAAAGAAAAAAACACATGAACATACAGTCGAGGCGTTGACCTAAGGAACACTAAATAAGCAACGAGGCCCCTATTTTCCATAAGTTGAACTTCGATTTCGCATCGAAAATCTAAGGAACATCCAAGGCAAGCTGCGAAACAATTAAGGAACACGGAGCCCCTCCCCAACCAAAAGGGTTCCTTCTTCAGGGCCCCGACTGTAGAAGAAGGGAAAAAAACACATGAACATAACCTTTTGGCACTCCGCGCGGACTTCCTGGATCTGCGCCGGACCCCCCCTCCCTGGCGCGCGGAGCGCGCCAGGGGGCGGCGGCCCTGGAGGCGCCGCCAGGGGGGCCCAGCGCGGATCCAAGAAACCCGCGCGGAGCGCCTGAAGGTTATGTTCATGTGGATGATTCTTCTTCGACGCATGGCGGCGGATCAGTTTCTAATGTGTAGTATTGCTCTCGGAGCCTCCCGGAGGAACCCTCTGAAGGCTCCGCCAGGAGGCCCCAAGAGCCAACCCAAAAGAAGCTGAACCCAGCGCTCTTGGCGCCTTCTTGGGGCGTCGCGGGGCGTCTTGGGGCTTCCCTGGGTCCTCCTCCTCCTCATCCTCCTCCTCCTCGCCCTCCTCCTCCTCGTCCTCCTCCTCCTCCTCCTCCTCCTCGGCCTCCGCCTCCTCCTCCTCTTCCTCTCCTCCTCCTCCTCCTCCTCCTCCTCCTCCTCCTCCTCCTCCTCCCTCCTCCTCTCTGCCCTTTCTCCTCCTCCTCCTCCTCCTCCTCCCTCCCCTCCCTCCCCTCCCTCCCTCCCTCCCTCCCTCCCTCCTCCCTCTGCACCTCCTCACCCTCCCCCCTCCTCCACCTCCTCCTCCTCCTCGGCCTCCGCCTCATCCTCTTCCTCTCCTCCTCCTCCTCCTCCTCCTCCTCCCTCCTCCTCCTCCTCCTCCTCCTCCTCCTCCTCCTCTCCTCCTCCTCCTGCCTCCTCCTCCTCCTCCCCTCCTCTCCTCCTCCTCCTCCTCCGCCTCCTCCTCCTCTTCTCCTCCTCCTCCTCCTCCTCCTCCTCCTCCTCCTCCTTATGGCTTCCCCCCACCCCCCAGCTCGCCGCCGACACTCCCCCCAAGAGGGCCCCCGAGACCGCGGGCCCCACGAGGAGGCTCTCGCAGGGAGGCCCTCACAAGAGCACGAGCCCAGAGAGCGCGTGCCTACGACCCAGACGCGGAGGCCGGATACAGCAGGAGCTCGACCACAAGAGACCCTCCACAGGAAGCCCAGCCCTGAGACCCCAAGATGTCCATGGATTTTGGGTAGAGGGACGTCACGTCTTCCATCGCAGAACCATCAAAGCCCAAGAGACCCAGGGCACACTGGAGGCAAGCATGGTATTTCTTGGCATGGGCTTCCTCTGCAGGCACACGGCCAAGATGACGCGTGACGACGGGAGCGTGCAGGCGTCCAGAGCTGCCAGACCAGTTGACACGACGCACTGAATGGAGCCCGGGGCCCGAAGACGTGCGGGGGTCCAAAGAGAAGAGCGAAACCTGCCGCGTGTGATGCACGGGCGGAGGGAATCGGATTGGTCATCCGGGCGGGGGGAGGAAGTGGACGCGTGGCGATGCAGGTATATGAATATATGTATCTTACAAGTTCAACAGACCAGGTGTCGTGTGGCGTTGGATGGAATGGTGCGAAGCAATCGCTCGTGCAAACGGTCGTGCAATGGCAAAGCAGGCGCAAGCGCCGTCACGGAAGGAGTCATGCATGTGGTTGCAGGGATGGCCGCGTGGCAATGAAGGCCCAAAGGCGTGCAGATGCGTCAGATCGGTTGTCACGACGCGGTGGTTGGGGTGCTGCGAGACAGTGACTCTCGAAGGCGCCCATGCAAGGGCCCAGGGGCCTTCAGGGCGGTGGGGCGGTGGCGGAAGAGTGCTACGTAATGGAGCAGCGGCCGAAGGCCACAGAGGATTGCGGACGGAGCGTTCAAAGAGCCAGAGCTACAGTTTCGATCTCTCCATCTCTCCTTCCTCCTCCTCCTCCTCCTCCTCCTCCTCCTCCTCCTCCTCCTCCTCCTCCTCCTCCTCCTCCTCCTCCTCCTCCTCCTCCTCCTCCTCCGCCTCCTCCTCTTCCTCCGCCTCCGCCTCCTCATCATCATCATCCTTACCCTCCTTCTACATCTCCTCCTCC